GTACTCAATTTTTAATGATGTCAAGTAATAACAGCATCAACAACAACAGCACTAATACCACAATCAATACAAACTAATGGAATATGTTATTCATTTACTGATAATGAAACATACACTGTATATGCACATGATATTGAGAATGGAATAAAGATACTGACACCAGCAATAGTTATTGAATACACAGTTGACTGGATTAAACCATCAGATACAGGTAATTACAGTAATGAGATATTATTCAACACAATTTTGCAGAGAGTGAATTTTCAAGTGGAAAAGAGTTTATGATAAACCAAACAAGCAGCAAAGGATTGATAATTCCAATGGAGTCCAGTGCTACCTCAACTAGTTCAGTATTACTTACTACTGCTACTAATAATATTGATAGTCAAAGTAAGGTGCCATACTAAAGGTATTTCATTAAAATGCACAATTGTCATTAGGTCAATCACAGGTCACTAACATAATATTGGGAGTTCTCCTTGGACTCACAACCCTTGCTGTTCTCATATTATTACTAGCAATGATTGCAATACTGAGGAAAAAAGGTAAAAGATACAATAACATGTTATCATAATTTGAATGCTATAAAGGTAACGCCAAATCTGACAACTCCATACCTGATCATACTTCAGAGACTTATGAGATCCCATTCACAAAAAAAGAGGATCCAACATATGAAATGATAAACAATAAAATACTATCAACTGATAACTGCAACAACTACACTTCTCTTAATGTCAGTACTTTTGATAACTCAACAATATATGATGTCCCAGAAACAAGCCCACAAGTTTCATCTCACCCATCTAAAGTTGGACATTTTAAATGATACATTAATTGTAACTCATAAACACACACACATGTATTTTAAGTATTGTAGTTCAATATGTGTAAAGGTTGCATGAATTTATGCTCATAGTAAAAAAACTTAACAAATAAGTATTGAAATGCAAAGCTGAATGTTATTATCAACACAAAAGTATTGAAAGACAAACAGACTATGTACAGGTGTAAACTATGAATGAGCTATAATACAAACATTATTGAAATATTGCATACAAGTACATTGTACCTTATAATCAAGTCATAAATAAAATCAAGCAAATGGTAAACAGATAACAATCTATCCATGTATTTTATAAACATAGTCCTCGCCCACACTAATTGCTGTCAAGGCCAAAAATGATATGCATAAATATGTACACCCATATCCTTTCATTTCTCACTTAACATATGCTGTCTATTTGCTTACTTGCAGAGAGCACATGTGCTTGTACAAATCAATGTACACATTGATGCACATATCAAAAACATTAAATACATGAAATTCTCACACTTACACAAACACATCACAACAGCACATTATACTTAAATATTATACTGCTATTGATGTTATTAAATTAAATTTGTATAATGAATAGAATTACATTTGACCACATGCAGGATTGGCCAATAATTATTTTCAAAATCATAATAAAATGGTAACTGGTTATTAACAACAAAAAATAAATAAATAACAATTAAGCAAAAATCAAGTTAGTATGCATAAATGCTTCAAAACAGATCAACAACAGATTCCCGGCTATGTCTAAAAGTATCAATAGAACTGGGTACAATTGTATATGTACAGTTAGTACAGTTGCACATGTACAACACAGTTTAAAGGTCACTGGTTTTTGTTATAAATTTAATCTGTATCTTAATTATTTTGTTATGTCAAGAAAAAATTCACTAAAGGCAGTTGTTAAAACTGAAGCAAACTTAGCATTGTGAAATGAAGCAGCTAAGAAATAAAAATGTCACAACTCCTCTGATATTGGTACTACTATTACTGTTGATGACATCCATAAGGGTATAAATTTCCCCTCCAGGCCACCTTATCTCAAAGTCATTTGTAAGATTATGAAATTAGTAAGCAAAATTAATGTGCATGCATGGGTTAACAATCAAGTACAAATTTGCATAAGTTAAATCACTGAGGTCATTTGTAAGTTAACATTTGAGCAATTGTGTGTGCAACAGAAACTATATAAAGGATACAATAATTGTAGCTATTTATACATGCACAATCATTAAATAGTTGTGGTCACAACTGCCGAATCACTAGTCCTATAAGATCAGTTTATGCAGTAAAAGATGATGATAGTGTTTGTGATACTTATCTACTTCAATGGTCTCCTTGTTAGCTCTGAGGGTAACTACCTTCCCTTCCTGTATCCTACTGACTATCTAACAATCAGTAATACTTCTGATTATGTAAATGTTTCATTCCCATCCACACTTGAATTTGGATCCTCTTGTTTCAACTATGCACATGTAAGGATTGTATAACATGTATAAGTATAATGAATGTATTTATTGTCTAGATTTTGGCATATGGAAGCATTAATTTTTTTCATGGTAGCTCAACTATTGCTCCATATTCTGACTATATAGACTTACGTGGTGGGAGAGGTGAAGTACGTTATGCTATTATAACTCCAACAACAAATCTTTCATTGTGTAATCAAGTCAATGGCTACTTATCTAATTCAACTAGTAGTAGTGTATCTGTTGAATGGATACTGTGGGTCTACTGGTATGATGTATGTCCAAATGGTGATTATACTTGCACTAATACTGAGGTAAATAGTCTAGACTATAGCTTATTATAATTTTCCTGTAGTCTAATTATTTTCAAGTTGTATTAGCTCATCAAAGTAATGCCACATATGCTGTGTTTATATACAAGTGTGGACTCATACGATGGACTGCATATAGAGCTGGTGTTGGTATTAATAGTGGTGATGGGTATTATGTTTATCATCCATTATCATATACTTATAGTGTTACTGACATAGACTGCTATGATGCAGTATCAGGATGGACTAATATTGTATACAGACTAGATCAAGGTATTATGAAACTGATGTAGCATTTTCTTATATAGGTTTATTAGCCATAGATAAGTTTGAATTCCTATCCATCACACCTCACAGTATTACAGTATCATGGGAGCTTAGCATTCCAGCTATTAGCAGTACACTAATTCTGAGTATCAGTGACTCTCTTCAAACAGTTAATGATACAATTAATGTTACTGGACATAATGTATACACTTATACTCAAAACCCGTGTCCTTGTAATGAATATACTTTTGAATTGACATTGCCTATGTCAGGTTGTAATGACAGCATTAGAATCATATCTACAGGTACAACTCATTTTTGTAATTATTTCTGTTATCATTATTCTTATAGAAGCACCAAATCCTGGCAATGTATCTGCATTATATCTAACCAATGAAACATTAATAATAAGATTTCAAGTAAGATCATTATACACTATAAGATTAATTCAAGCACTATACATTATAAGATTAAATTTATCATTAGATACATCAGTTCTTCATAAATAATATTAAGTTGCTTTTGGTTGGAGCTAATACTTTCAATACATCAGATCTAATGGGTAATGATAGTCTTCAATACATTGATGAGTTTTATATTATACACTGGAATATAAAACTAAATGATCATTCATTGTATTACCTAACAGTATCAACAATTGGTACATATGGAACTAGTACTTCTGATCATGTAATAGAAATAAGTAAGATACTATTATCAATGTATGGTAAGTGTATGTATGCACTTATTATAGATACATATAATGTAAAGGATATAATAATAGAGAGGAATGAAGATATTGTCTGTTTTATTTGTGTTACTGAAATGCTTAATGAATGTCAATTAATGATAACAACACTGATACCACAATCAATACAAACTAATGGAACATGTTATTCATTTACTGATAATGGAACATACACTGTATATGCACATGATATTGAGAATGGAATAAAAATACTGACACCAGCAATAGTTATTGAATACACAGTTGACTGGATTGAACCATCAGACGCAGGTTAGTAATGAGCTATTATAAATTTAATTTACACTTATATAGTGAATGTTACATTTTCAAGCACTGAAGAGTTTATTATGTACAAAACAAGCAGCAAAGGATTGATATTATCAATGTATAGTCCAGTGATTCTAATTACTACTACTACTACTGTTATTACAACTACTACTACAAATATTGGTCATCAAAGTATGTTTACTTAGCACAGTATTCATGGAATGTTTAATGCACATTTAATTGTCAATAGGTCAATCACAGATAATACTGGGAGTTCTCCTTGGACTCACAACACTTGCCGTTCTCATACTATCACTAGCAATGATTGTAATACTGAGAAAAAAAGGTAAAGGATACAATAATATATTATCATTTGAATACTATAAAGGTAAAGCAAAGTCTGAAAACTCTATACCTCATACTCAAGAGATTTCTTATGAAAACCAAGTCGCTACAAAAGAGGATCCAACATATGAAATGATAAGCAATGAAATACCATCAATTAATACTAATAACTACACTTCCCTTACTATCACTACTACTGATAACTGATGTCCCAGAAACAAGGCCTCAAGTTTCATCTCACCTGTGATAATGGTGCTTTGACATTTATGCATACATGTACATGTACACGTAACTACAATATTCTATTATTATTATTATTACTATGTATTCATTGTTGTTGTAAATGTGTTATGTATTGATCATTATGTATGTGTTATTATTAATATCCTATGAAGCTCAAAAATATATATAAACCTTACAAACTACCAAAGGGTAGAAAGAAGGTAGGGTTGGTAACTTTCGTATGGGCCACACCCCCTAAGCTTGCAACACAAATAAATGGTGGTCAAACTGAACCCGAGGCTAGCAGAGCTGCATTTCCCCCGAGCATGGGGTCCACCTCCACACAGCAAATTGGCCCGCCCAGTCCCTAGGACCTAAACCTAACAATGTATCCTACGGCCTACTCCTAGAACCTAACCTACACCCTAGAAGCTAACTAACTCCTATTACTAGGATTTGGACGGACCATAGCTGTGGCACAATCAGCTGCTTGAGATAAATAGGTATGCTGCATTACCTATGCAACTCGGGTCAGGCAATTACCCACCATGCGAGCCTTTGTGAGCATTAAGGCTTGCAGCAACAGAAGATACAAAATAATGAATTAGGTGGAGTGTGGGTCAAAGACCCTGCCCATACGAATTTCACGCCTCACAGGCGGAGAATACAATAATAATAGACACAAACACATAATAGAGGGAGGGAGGGAGGGAGAGATTGAAGGGAGAGACAGAGAAACAATAACACACAGAGCAGCCAATAATACTCAGAGCAGCCAATAATACTCAGAGCAGCCAAAAATACTCAGAGCAGCCAGCAGCCAAAAATACTCAGAGCAGCCAGCAGCCAATAATACTCAGAGCAGCCAGCAGCCACTAATACTCAGAGCAGCCAGCAGCCAATAATACTCAGAGCAGCCAGCAGCCAGCAGTGTGATTGCATCATTGCAACAAAAGCAACGCAATGTGCTAACAGCAAAGCCACGCCTGCCGACCAACCCTAGCCATGTGGCAATCAGTTCATGGATATTAACTTCGTTTAACCTAGGTGCTTAAACTCCAATTAACAGAAAAGCCCATACATATTATACTGTGCAGTACTATATATTCTACACAGTGCTATATTTTCCTACCATGCGGTTATTGGAAGTTATAGCACATTAGCACTGCATGGCGGTGCCTTTGATCCGCCCACGCACCATACTACAAGTACATGTATAGGCTGTTAGCAAATAACTAATGAATAAAACAGTAAGCATTATAAATTAAACAAAAACAAGAATTAAGTTAGTAGCTAATGCAACTTCAAAACAGATCAACAACAGATTCCATGTGATGTCTAAAAACATCAGTAGAACTGGGTACAATATCATTCCTCTGCTCATCAACAGTTTTATGAGAATCAGTTACATCTAAAAGAGGCTCATCATCATCATCATCATCATTATAGAGCATACTAAACAATTTCCTCACTAGTACATTATACCAGAGTGTTTGTGATAGCTGCAAGTAGAGGTGATACAGTACAATTAATATGAAACTGGCAGTAAAAAGAGACAAGCAAGTATTGAGTTAAAACCACACTGTCATCAGTATAAGCTAGAGAGAAACCAACCATACTAGATCTACATAAGTTGAACTTCTATTATATTGTACATAAGTAACAGATATAAGCTGTAATGGAAATAATACTTGTTTACAAGTTTAAAAATATACAATAAACAATTTACATGTAACAGGTTTCATGTATAGTTTATTTACAGGTGAATTTCATTATAGTGTATAGTCTATAAACAATTAAGAGTGAACAATAATAATCAAACGTGCACTATTGTACCACTTTACATTTCTAATAAGTTACTAACTAGTTTTTATAAACCAAACAGGATATGTTTAAAAGTATTATATATGTATATAAAGATTATTGATAACAACGCACAGTTGGGATTAGAATTAATCCAGTTCATATTGGTACAAGAACATAAAAAATTTAAA